AGTATTTCCTCCAGTGCTTGAAGTGGCTAGAATGAGATTTTCGTTCATTTTGGAACAAGGACTTAAGAAGTCCTCAGAAGTCAGATCTCGATTATTCCGAGTTTGATGCTCAGATTGGAGTTGAGTAGACTTCCTGAACTTCGAATTTCTGATTCTGATGCTAATTTGCTTAGAACGTTTTGTGGGTACCTGTGTGTTTGGAGACTTGAAGGCGGGAGATCTGTGATGAACTCATCAATTCATGGCTACACTGGTACATCCAGCAGTGAGGATGTACGCTGAATATGAACGCTTTGTTCGGTGCTCGGGATGAGTAAAAAATGTAGCCAAGTAGTTGTGTCGAATGCGAAGCCTGTCAGTTGGTAAATGCAAGAGCATACAGGACAGGGCTGTTGCCGATTCGTTGCCTATCCTGGAGTGGAAATGGAGGAGGATAAACGAGGGATTTGCGATGGGTTTCCTCGATCTAGACAGGGACAGAGCTCATTGGGTGGTTTGTAGATAGATTGACAGTCAGCCATTTCTTCCGACAGACAGACGATTCATTTGACCTGGAGCGCATTGAACTCATGATTATTGAAAGAGATATATCATGATTGCACGGTGTGCCTCAGTGTGATCGTATCTGATGAGATGGACGTTTAACTCTCGCAAGACTTTGAAAAGAGCTTCAGCAAAGGCTTGGTACAAAACTGAGCGATTTAAGTACAGGGCCTTTCCATCCTCAGAGACCGATGGACAGTCTGAGAGGCTAATTCAGGTACTAGATAACTGTTAAACTTTGTGTTTTGACTTAGCGAGAGCTGGGAAGGATCATATTCCCTGATTGAGTTATTGCTCTAACAACAGTATATTTTCAGTCATATCGTATGCACATACGTAAACGAAGCTTCTTGTAATGGCAGGAAGTGCCGTACTCCTTTGATTGACGGAGTCGTAGATAGGCAGGCTTTGGAGCCACTTATTGCTGATAACTGCTCAGAAGATCAATTTATAAGAGAAAGATGAAGGCTGCTCAAAATAGACAACATAATTATACATCAGAAGCACATCGTATTGAGAGTTCAGGTTGGTGATTTGTGTACGTCAAAGTCAGCCCGATGAAGGTGTGACAATTTGGTCAGTTGAGCAAGCTATCCGATAGTGTTGGAGCCTTTTGAAATTCTGAAAGGATTGGAAAGGCTGCTTACAAATTGATGCTTTCTGATCACGATGCCCTGATGGTGCATAATGTGTTCACGTATCCATCTGAGGAATGGGTATCGACTCTGTGAAGAAAGTATCTGCTGATGAGTTGAGATTCAGGAGATCTGACGTACAAGGAAGAGCCAGAGTTGATTTTGGCGATACGACGTACGAAAGCTAAGAAGTAAAACAGATTCAATGGTTAATAAGTCGGAGCACCGTACTGTCATCGGAGCACTGTGGAAAGGAGTTGACATGAGAACGGTTGTACACATATGATTGTTTTGTACTGAATTTGGACTGGATATGTCGAGACACGACATTTTTTAAGTTGGGAGATTGTAATATCTTTTTGCTCCAGGTCTCGCCGACGAGTCGATCGTCGGGACGATCGGTACAGTTTGTGCAGAGAAATCATGTTTGCTGTATGGTTGTCTGACGAAATCTGGATCGTCTGAACGAAAATAAGTCAGTGAACCTCGCTCGCACAGGTGACGATGTTAATTTTTCGTCCCTGACGAAATCATCTCTTCATGGATCGTCCGGTACGAAGCTCGATCGTCCAGTACGATCAGTCGGATATATATAGAAATGAGATATTGTTGACGAGAGAGAAAAAGATTGAGGAGAGAGAAAAACGAGAGGAAAAATGGAAAAGTGGATTCGGCGCGACGCCATGAGCTGTTTCGTCCGAAGAGACTGTTGAGGAAATTCGCTGTAACGCAGGTAAGCGCACAATCCGTGACTTTCTCAATTTCAGAACCTGTCGAGTTTGGCGGTATTATCTGTCCGAATTATAGTTTTGTTCGCGATTTTCGTCCGTAATTTCCGATTGTTAGGTTAGACTGCGTACTTTTCTGTATTTTGTTGAAGTGCCGAGTGTGCACATTTTGGTTATTTTTTGTAAGATTTTGTCCGGTATTTTGATTCGACTGTTTTTTAGTCGACTGGATTTTTCTGTGAAACTTGGAAATTATCTGTGTAGTAGAATAATGTTCTAAAAGTTGATATCTATATCTGTGCGAATTGGTGAATTTTGATTTTCAGGAAAATTGAATGTAGATTCTCTATAGCCGTTGTGCTAGCCATCCGCATTTTTGAGATTTCTGTTTTGTCCGGAAATCTCTCTGAAGTTGATATGCTACATATGTCTATATAAGGAAGTAGTTATAGGGGCCTGGATCCTATGAGAATTCAGTTAGTTGTCGGAATTCTGAATGAGCTCAATATGAAATCTGAATATCCTGTTCTGTTCCGGATCCGAGGAACATCTATTTTAAGGTGCTATACAATACTGTCACTATATATGTATTCATGGTGTATAAGAACATTTATCTATTGTTGGTGCCGTGAGCAAAAGGGAGGCATGAAAGTATTGGCTGGTCCTATCGAGTTCAGTCAGTGTCAGTGGGAATTTAGCCTATTTAATCATATCTGATATCGCTATATGTATTCTGATATGATATTGTCTGTTCCGATATGATCTGTACGATTTTTGATTCTGTGATCAGATTGTGTCATGATTTGTTATGTTTGATTTTGATGCAACGTTCCGATCGTACAGGTTTTGTTAGTGATTTGTGATATCTTGTCCGAATACTGTTTCGATTGTGTACGGATTATGGTCTGCGTGTATATAGCTTTTGAGATTTCTGAGGATTGAATTGGAGGTTTGTTGCATCTCGTGTTTTCACTAGAGGTGTTGGCAGCTCGACATCTTTGCTTTCTGTGCAGATTTCAGGTTTCGGGTATACCACCGGTGCAAGGGGAGATTCTCAGGTATTATTCGCGAGTCTGACTAAGTATAAGGCATGGTGACTTTTTGTATCACTTTTTGATTATGTTGGGTACAGTCCGGGGGACTTTTTAAGTTCTGGCGTTCTTGCTGTCGAAATAGCCTATGTATATTTGTATTCTGTTTTCACGATAATCCTGTTTATATATGAGGAAATTGACATATTTGGTGATAGTATGATTTTTTCAGAAACAACTGGCATATTGAAATGGAGTGGATCCGAAGCTTAGTAGCGTCTGTGTTTGATTAGTGAATTACTGTTCGTAATAATATTATTTATTCGAGTAGTTCTGTTCGGAACGGTTAATTCCAAAAAGCACTTTAGGGGAATCGTCTGGTCATTAGGTTCAGTTCTACCGTACTTGACGTTTCTGATTTTTTTTTGTAAGAGACAAATGCGGGGTCGGGGGGAGGACGGGGGAGTCCCG